TTTCATCGACGATTCAAACGAATATAAATATGTATATGTTCCGAGCTAACTTTCTGGTGAAAAAATATAATTTTTGACGCGCGCTGGGTTTTTAATTTTTTTCCCGCGAAACACAGGGTATGTGAAGAGTTAAAACTACCTTACCGTGAATATTTCGGCAAAGTGACCACATTATTAGCCATTTGTGTCACACTTGAAAGCTGATTTCATGCCTCGTTTGAACCGACCATTAATATGGTCGATTGCTCGAGTAACTGATTATTTTCCTATTTAATTGCTACCCTGAATAATAATAACCTTTGCTCCTTCAGTCTATATGTAAAGTTATAAGAATTCGTGTAATATTTATCTCGGGCAATAACGGCCACGATTCAAAATATTTTTAAATATTAAAATGGCCAAGCTTAATGTTTCAAATTCTCTAAACTTCATTTGACATATAGCGCAATATTGGTGAATTCCCGCAAAGGTACGAATTTTTTTGATAACAAATAAATAACAATAAAATATCATCAAGGTTTTAAATGAACTTTATTATAACACTGAAAGTGTACTAACTACGTACCCTGAATACTCCTATCTTTATTCCTAAAAAAATAGTTCTGGTTATTGGCGAATGTTTTGCCGTTACGAACACATGAACATGCTACGTTCAACTGTTGCAAACAACGAAATTCACGCGCACAATACTACAAACCCTTATGCTTTCAATCTACCAGATATTATTACAAACTGGGTCATTGGATTATGCAATTCGAGAGTTTTCATTGGCTTAGCCATCATGGGTTATAAGCCACTGATTCCATGCTCTACAAATGTGGTGAGCATGAGCGTGATTTTTGGGAGCATTTTTATCTTTATTTTAGTCTATATTGTTTTCTATATTTTGGAGGCGTTTTTAAAAAAACAATTATTCCACTCGCGCTTGTTGGATATGAAATGATTGCAGCCAACTCGGCGCCATGCGCCTCCTTGGTTATCCACCATCTCACATCCAACGCGCCCTCGTGGAATAATTGTTAATTATCGGACAGACATTGAGAAATTTTCTGTTTGTTTTGTTTTATTCAAGGACCCAAATTTCATTAGTCCCTCAACACCTGCGATTCAATAAAGGTCTTAACAAAATTCTCGCTCGTGATTGGTTCTCGGCGCGCCGACCAACGTCATTCACGCGCCGATTACGCGCACTTTAATTTCTTCACTCTCAATGTTTGCTACAATTTTAAAACTTTTGGAAAGCGCTACAAACTTTCTCGCTCAAAAGAAGTTCTCAAAAGACATTTTTAATTCCGAAATTTGTAATAGATACGGTTAATTAGTAGTTGAACCTCAAGTCGTGCTTGAAATTACTCGCGCGATTACTCCCTAACCCTAATATACTTGAACAACTGATTGACTGAGAGCAGTTCAGTTCAAGTGTAACACCAGTGCAAAAAGTGTAACACCAGTGCAAATTACACACCGTAATTCTGGATTATGACTGGCTGAAAGACAATAGGAAATTTTCTGAGCCAATGATATCAAGTAAAGTGATGACGAAAATTTTGTGTGGACACTTTGAAAAAGTTTTCTCTAATGAGAAAAAATGGCTTCAAAAAAGATCTTCCGCCACTTCGTCCAAACGAATTTTTTTTATTGATGTTTATATCATTAATAAGTACTTTCATACGGTTTTCCTCGTTCAATTTGAAATTAATTTGCACTTGTGAGTTCTTCAAAAAGCTGAATTTGCGCTGGTACAAATAAATTCCAAATTGCACGCGAAATCGTATGATTACCCACACCAATCTTATTGTACTCCATTCGGTCCAGTTACTATATATGGGTTATTGACCAAGCTTGNGCGGGCTAGATAGCTCCATCTTGCCGGCTCGGGTAGCCAATCACAGCGCAGGATTTGATTCATCTTGCCCGCTCACGGAGCTAGCCATATAATAAAACTTGCTATATAACTATACCACTTTTGGACTCAACGCCTTGTGTTAATCTTAGTTTTAATAGCTTTTAATATCGATTGGAGGCCGCACAGACATATGCTTTATACTTGCTTTATAGTTTCTTTTCGGTCTTCTCGCCACTTTTTCTCTTTAATCTAGTTTTATTTGGATTGACTAGTTCATTTCTTTTGCATATCAGTATGGGGCAAATATTAAATCAATAATAATATAATATTCCCCAATTTTCAAAACTGCGTATGGTCCTAAAAATATTTGAAGGTTAGTAAACACGATATAATCCATTTTGCGCGGAAACCTGTTCGCTTCTCAGAACAAATAATGTCCGCGGACAAATATCCGGGCATATTTTCGCGCTAAATGGAGGCTATTGTTTATGACCATTCTTACAAAGAACCAAGAGTGAAAATTACTTGTTACTCGGTTTGTTCACAGGATTAAACACCTGCGTGCATAAGGTGTTTCGGCTTTGTCACGAGACACGACAGGGGAAGCCGAAGCTTTCTTTTGAACCTTGCAGTCACTAAGGAGTCCCTTAAAAATTCTCAACGAACAAGCGTTTACACGGTCAGAGCAGTCGCAAAGACGGTACTTTCGGGCCTCCGTTGCGTTAACGCGCAAAGGTATTTCAGTTCTTTCGTTCCATTCGTCTTTATCTGGGTCATAGCACTCAATCTTTGTCCCTAGCGAGTCGCTGTCGTAGAAATGTCCTAATGCATACAGTGCATCGTCCACGGACAAGATCTGTGGAACCGCGTCGGAAGGCATGTACAAGCTTGCAATAAACTGCCATTCGTTCGTTGTTTCATCGTAGACTTCACAGGCATTTGATATCATTTTATAACGATTAATTCCGCCAGTGACAAAAATTTTCCCGTGCGCGGAAGCTGCGCAAGCAAACGCTCTCTCTATCTGCAAGTTGGCTAGCTTGTCCCCCTGTTTTTTAACGAGATCGTACCTGTAAACATTTGGCAGCACTGGGCGCCTCCAGTGGTTTCGCATTCTTCTTCCTCCAATGAAATAAACAAAACTGTCTTTCGCTAAAATGCACATTCCTTCTTGGGAAGATAAACTCACCATTGTGAACTTTAATGATGATATATCTTCCCAAGTGTTTGATTCGGGTCTGTACTTCGAGATGTACGGAGGAACGTCGTTCGGGTGATTTTCCGTGAATTCCGACACCAAAGCGAACATTTCGTCCTCATTTCTAGCAAATATTTGCCGCACATTCCTGCCTTTTGGGTATGGAAGCGACCTCCAAATGTTAGAGAGTGGATCATAGCATATCAGTCGTTGCAAAGGTGGGCAGATACAATATAGCTTGCCTTGACAAGGTATCAGTTGAGAAGGGGGATTGCAAATTGAAAACGCCCGGGAAAATGAGTTTTTACCTATCCTACACAACTTGTCCTCGCGAGGAAAAAATCCCAAGATATGCTCTTCGAGGCAGCATACAATGACAGTGGTTTCCAGGCACTTTCTTGGTCTGGTAGGGAGATCGTGATAGCTTTTGCAGTCAATCACCTTCATTGCGTCCTTCACAAGGTCCAAGCAATCTCCATTGCCTCTTACGAGCTCATTCGTCACGACATCACTTTGTAGATAGTCACGCGTGACATAAACAAGGCGAACGTGTCGAAATAATTCGGCGAACTGTTTCTTTCGTTCAGTTTTGTCACGATTAATCCATCTTAGAATGATCTTAAATACATCTTCCTCTGCACTAATATCTATCTCATCGCTTGAAATCCACATTTCAATTCGTTTGCTCGACATATTCATAAACTCTTCTGTTTTTGCCACGGTGGTGAAATTTGAAAAGATGAACTGTCTGGCCTTCGAAAGAAGTTCCTCGCATTGGTATATTTCCGCAAAATGGTAACTTGAAATGCAGTTCGACACATTCAACGTCTTTAGATTTACTGCAACCCGCTTGGCGAGAGTTTTGAGTTTTGGAAGAAACAAATAATCAGCCAAAACTATTAGGCCTTCAGCAATCTCTAGAGTGGATATCTGAGTATTTCCGGTGTAAATAAACTCTAGTGTTGCCGCCATAACAGCCTCGCTAAACAACTCCAACCGAACTATACCTTCTTTAGACTCCTTCATGTCGCTGTCTAGCAGCTTTTGAAAGAAAAGACTTGCCTCTGAAAGAACATCTCCATGAGCTTTAAATTCTACTTTCCCACCATTGACAACCAGAGTAACATCGCATGGATGGTGGGGCGTTTCTCTCGGTTTGAAAACGCGTTTGAAACTTCCTTGTTCGCAGTTATCACGATTCAGTAATAAGCCTTCCATCTAAAGCTATCTAAAAATCAAGTTTTGGCCGATGAGGTTCAGTCAACGGTTGGCGTGACTTTTTTCAAAGCTAATGACCGTCTCGGGACCGTCACAAGTAATTCGCGTGCCCGTCAAGAGTTAGTCACGAAAAAAGGTTAGTTTTGGACTAAAACTACTAGAATCCTTCACATAGTTAGGACAATTATTATCCGCACCCTATTGTGCTTCAAAACTTTAAATGATACGGAAGGACAAACGAAATGAATCGTAGCTAGTCAGATGACGACATGCAAGGTGCAATCTACGTCCGAGTCAACCTCGTTCCCAGGGTCCCCTCTCTACCTCGATACTTTCTCGAGGTAGAGAGAGGACCCTGGGAACGAGGTTGGCGCCGAGTGCCATGTTGTTATCATAATAAATGATGTCATTTCCCGCTTTTTCCCGGAATGTTCATGTATCTTTCATTGCATGCACAAATGAAGTTTGCTCAATGGGATTGGAAAAAAAGTAGCTCAAAACTGCCCCACACAACGATCAAAAAACGTAGCTGATCGAGCTGGAAGTTACAATCCGTGTAAACGTAGAATGATCATTTTAAAATTCGCGCGGCGCAGTGGGATGGGGCAAAATTGAAAGTGACCGAGTTCTGGTCATGGGACTTGGTTTTGGAGATTTTGGGGGCTGTTTTGAATTGGTTTTCGACGAAGAAAACACGAAAGAACAAGCTGATATTGGTACCCAAGGTGAGGAAGTTATGCTAGCTAAAACGTTAATTACGAAAAGCAGAGCATGACGGGACGCACGGGGCTTCTACTGTAAGTACCGCAGAGAAATGGTAGGAAATTTTCCTAGCATTCCTTACATACTCTCACTAGGGTTCTTCGTCTTGCGGCCAGGGAAGACGTCATAATCTGTTTTAAAGACTTGTGGATGATATTAAATAAAAAAAACCAGAAAGGGCCGATGGAATATGAGACGAGCTTTAAAATGAAGTCACGATATTAATAGTGCTTTAAAAGTAAACAGTGCGTTCGAGTCATTCCCGATGCTTTCAAATGATGGCGGACTCCACCGACGCCAATAATCTAGAACAAAACAAGATCATTATATATCGGATCACGTCTAAACACACGTGAAGAAAGACTTGGGCAGGAAAAAAACGTGAGCGGACAAAACCGG